TAGCCTGACAGCAAGGGAACTCTAACCCATGATCCGCCTACCACTGAGGATATTTTACGTCAGCATTGAGGTCAGTGCAAGCCGGATGCGGAAATAGTATCGACCTGCTATCGCTGGGATTCGATCACGTCATTGTAGATATAGAGATAAGAGTGCTCCTCACACTATTCTATTGATATATTTTGCTTTGGATATATTGATACAATATTCGAAAGCACCCGTTTTTGTGGAAATAATCGTGTGAGCTGATAAAAAGAATCTATCTCTTTTCTTTCGGATTTTTATTAATTTTTCCCCTTTTTTTCAGAATTTTTTTTTTGGATATCAATTATTTTTATTATATATTTTTTTCTTTCTTTTTCTTTCCCCCTTTTTTTAATGCTCTGTAATTTTTTACATGTTTTCTCTACATTTTGAACTTGACATGGAAATATTACACCAGCTCATAAATATTTAAAATTTAATCGTTATTAAAATACATACATATTTTTAATAATGACATTAAAAGATATATTATGAGATTGGAAGAATTTCGAAGCATTAATAACTTTTATTGTTAAAGTTCAGGATTTTATTTTTTTTTTGTACATTTTTTCTACTTCCTTTCTGTTTAAAGTTACGACACGTTATCAATTTCAATGCCAAATTCTAATAAAAAGTTCTTAAACGTCTAAACGGGAAACATAAAGCATAATTCTTCCTTATTTACAGCAGGATAAATTCTTCTAGTTCATCTTATAATTCAATAGATGTCACCTTTTTATTTTCTGAAGAGTAACTTGGAAAATTACGTTTTCTCATTTTATGTCTTATAATAATTCTTGCCAATCGCTATCACGCAAGCTGGTATTTGACTACTACTGTTAAACTTTTGTTACCAGATAGGAACAAAACTACCTCAAAATAAAATTTTTTGTATATAATGAATGCATGGAAATAAATTAAAGAAAAAAGAATGATAGTGAAATACAAACAATTTATTTTTAAAACGAAAAGTTGATGCAGCGCCGCCGTGACATCACTGACTGAAATCAGAAGCTTGGAGCGGCACGTGTCTCTTCGAGGAAGTGAGCTAGCCCTTCTATTCACCACTCTTTAGACCTGGGGCCTTCTTGTCTTAGCTACACGGTGTTACTCCACCTCATGTTGTGAAAGAAAATTCAAAATGACTACTTTCGTTAAAATTTTATTGCTCAAATTTGACAGAGGATTATTTTTATTAAAATTTTGATACTGACAACTTTTACAAAATGTTTAGAAAGATGCAAAATATAACTTCGTACTTTTTTTTAAAATTTATTTTCTATTTCAATTACTTAACGCATTTTTTAGAGATTAAGTCTTCGGGAATTATTAGAGGCCTCCATCCCTAGCTTTTAATTCAGTTTGTAATCAGTTTTGTGGTAATACAACACAAATGTTTTTTATAATGCTGATATTTTGTTTTCAAAATGAGCAAAAAACATAAAAAACATATTGATTTTCAGTATAAATATTTAAATTTCTTTTTAAGAAATTAAAAAAGTGTTAAATATGGTTACTAAATTTCCTACATAATTCATAATTTATTGTCATAAATAGGTCATGAAATGCGACGATTCCTTGCTTGATTTTATCCTTGCAAGATAGAGAAAGTTAGCGTTAAACTAGAATATAATCAATTCCTTTAAGCAATCAATTTCTTGAATATAATCAGTTCCTTTAATTAAGAAAACGTAACTTTTAACCCACGTGGATGTGTGCCTCTTGGACGAGTGTTAAGGCACTCGGAGTCATTCTATGACCCCAAATTTAATTTATTCATATGCTGACAAGAAACTTAATAGTTTTTTGTAGAAATATAACACTTTTGAGTCTTAGACATTTACTTTCTATTACTTGACTATTAGAAGCTTTTTATACTAAGCATGATAATATTTACTTAGTTGATAAGTAGTATATAAATTATAGCATTTTACTTGATATCTTTGTTTTAATGCAAACATGAATATGCATAGTAATTTTTATTTATAATTAATTTTCTTGGAGACACATGTTCGTTGCAAAAAACTCTGTGCTCAAATTGCTACTTCCAATTCTAAAGCAAAACTTCATTTTGACGAAGTTTTTTATTTTAATCTGTTTAATATTTGAGCACGTAATTCGTGATTCTAACTTTAATTATCCACACGCTTACTTGCGTTGATCACTAATAAGTGAAATAGCAATGTTTTCAATTTTTATACACAGTTAGACGTCCGTTTTTAAGCACAGTCAGTGGGTTTTTGCTAGATAGCTAAGTAGTTCTTGTATTTATTAGAGAAAAACTTGAATGAAAATAGTAAACAAGTTGGAATCACTTTAAATTTGAACGAAAAATAATGCATTAAACTCATCCATAACGAGAAGTGAATTGATTTACAGAGCAAAAAGAGGGACCCGTGAATTCAATCTATGACCCCCCGTAACTGATAAAGTGAATAGTTGGAGGAAGAAAATACAAAAAATAACTTATAATTATTCAGAAAAGGCATATAAGGAAGAAATTCTCAACTACTAATAAAATAGGGGGGAACAGTTGTCTAGTTTTCTAGGAATAAGAGCTTATACAATGCAATGGGTCATAAAAATTACCCCCGCGTGTTCTCCCGGATTAATTATTAATGTAATTTATTTATTATATTTTCAATATTTTTTTCACAAAAAATCTATTTCTGTTTAAGAAAGATTATTTCAATATGCTTAAAAATACTTAAGGTAAAAAGTTCCTTCTGATAATTTTAAAAATAATGTTGTTCCATGACTGAATTTGATTGTACTAATTAAGTCACTAATCTAGTACCTTTTTAATGGATAATTTAATAAAAATTACGATACAAGAAATTTACTATACTTTATTTCGTTACTTATAGAGACGCTTCTGTACTTTATAAGTTAAAAAGAAGGTAGATATTTTAATCTTTGTTGGAAATCAAATATATCTGATATTAATGAAAATGCGATGAATTTTACTGACCAGTTCAATTATTCTTTGAAATATAAAAGAACAGTTTGCTTCCTAATAAGCATAATGCACTGTACTCCAAAGAACTTGAAATTGGTTTAAATGCCTTTCAATTATTTATGTAACTTTTAGAAATGTAGATTAGAAATTTCAACAATGACGGCAGAAAATGCATTTGAGAGAGAAATGATGAGAAAAGCGGTTTATGAGTTTTCCTTTTAAGCATTTTTTGACGTTGTAAAGTTTATAAAGGAAATTTTCAGATAAATAACAAAAAGGTTTGAACACAGATTTTCTGTTGAATTTTTGTAACATTTTTATTCGTTGCAAATATTACAAATAATGGGCTTTTTTAAACTTTAGCGTGCTATGTTAGAACGCATGATCGCAATTGTGCCTTAAGGTTTTCGACTCGTGGTAATCTTTAAAGATAAATATTATGCACAGTGTACACGATCCAGGAAAAGTTGTTTAGATAAAAATCATTTGAGGTCCATGATTTCTTTCTACACATTCCCTATACACCAGCTACGTCGACTTTTTTCTTAAAAAAAGTTTTATGAGATTTTAAAATTTGTTACGTAACGTAAAGGCGTGGTGTAAGGGTTAACACGTTAACTTTTTAAAACGTTTTCTGGATACGAATTCTTACGATGACTTTCTCTTCATTCTCAATTTCTGATTTTTTTCTCGCGTAAATTTTTAATATGAAGTAAAAAAAATGTTTCTAAGGTGTCTGTGCATTTTTACCTGAGTTAAGGAGTAACATTTGTGTTGAGTACTTGAAATGTTTATCTCTGACTGAGAAATTTTCGGTAATTTACGCTGCAACTAGAACTTCAGCTTATATTCGACTGAAATTATAAACATCTTATTAAAAAAAGATTCATTCGGGAATATTTAGGAACTAGGAAACTATTAGACATGGTGCTTAGAATTCCTTTGCATATTTTTCAATTAACTTTTCAACTAAGCCAAATTTGAATTCAAATAATTTTTTAATACTTAATACATGTAAGTACAAGTTAAAAAATCCTTCAAATGTGATGAATGAAATTTTTGCAGAAGTTACAATTTAAAAAATTGTTGCAATTTTAATTTGAGTAATACTCACTTTCGTTAATAATTATTATTATTTACTAATTATTATTATTTACTAATTAAGTAAGTAATTAACTAGTATTTACTTATTAAGTAATTATTAAGTATTATTTACCAATTAAATAGTTATTAATTATTTTTTACTAATTTGTATCACATTATTACTTGAGTTCAATATAATTATCGATATTTCTCTAACTAATTTTCATAACATTAAAAACTTTGTTTCGTTTTTAAACCTATTGGAGCTAAATTTTAAGCAACCGGCGTCGTACAAATCTTTCCGACCCTGTCTCTGACTCCTGAAAATTTTCTTCGACTAAAAGTGTCGGCTCCAACTCCTCAGTTCAGTTTTTTACCGTAAGCTTCCAGGAATAATTTTTACAGTGTTCGAAGAAAAAACTAATGAAATATAGGATTAAATAGCAGCTCTTTACTTAAACTTTATTGTATTTTATGATTGAATACTCGAAAATATAACTTAATACATTTTTTAGCCTTCCTACTTGTCTGGAGTATTCTAGAAGATATCAAAACATTAAAACACCTCCTCTTTAATTATAATCACCCACTGCAGAATTTAACTAAGACATTTACTCATTAACGCCTCTCAGCATCCTAATGCTCAAAATTGCATGTTATTATCGGTATTTGAGCTCTGACGTTAATACGTGTAATTCTTCTATAGATTTATTAAAGGAAGAGTTGAGGCTTCATCTTTCAAAAAGCTACTTCACCTAATATTCTCAACTCACGCAAACGATCGTGACAACAACTTCCAGAAATATGTAACTACCTTTAAGTCTTTCCAGGCAGTTCAGATCGTGCCGGCAATATTCTGGAGCGAAATTCCTGGATCTCGCCAAAATCGACCGCAACCCTTGATAAAAGAGCAACCCTACAGCAGAGAGACAAACTCAAGGGGTAACCCGCAGTCAGTGACTGCTCGCAGTTAGAGGCAGTCGTTTCGTCATTCCCTGCACTCAAATAAGGGAGAGAGGAAAAACTCTTTCCAAGTTTTAACCCACTTCCTCATCTTCAGCATCCTTAAATTCATCCTGCGCATCCTTTTATTCATCTCCCTAGCATTTTATCTCCGGAATCTTTCTTTTTTCCTCTTTCCTTTCTACTTCGTTTGCAATTAAAGTTTGAAATATTTTTTTCAAATGTGTGTGCGTTAGATTGAATTAGCTCGCCACCATGTCATCGGTGTTCGATATGCGTGCAGTAACCATGTGCCCAGAAGTGTTACGGTGGTGGCAACGACCTTAACTGTCAACCGCGCTGTCAAGGATGTGATCTGTGAGTGAGAGACAAGTTGTGCGAAAAGATAAACCAGGTGAGAGTTGGGTGAGAAAGATCTAAAAGTTCATGTTCTTTATTTAATTTAAGTTTATTTTGGGGTTACAATTAGAGGTGAAAAGTTTGTATAAGCATTTAGGTAATTTCAGCAATACGTAAAATATTTATAATAAATGTTTTAAACTTTGAGTACTTCTTCATCACAAATAAAGAAGTATTTAGAAAAGAAACGTTTGTATAAAAACATATAACTTTTGCTTTAAATACATAATTCATTGATTTAAAGATACTTTACTCTAAAAAAATATATAAGTAACTTACTTGTCTCAATAATAATTTATCAATTTTAAATATTCATAAAAATGCGATATAAAATGCAATTTATCAATTTTAAAAATAATTTAAGTGAAATATTTGCATTCGAATCTAATCTGTCTCTATAAATTTATCGTAAAGCATAATTTATTAATTTTATAACTTCTTTACTTGAAAAAATTGTATCTAACTAATATCCCTTAACAAGATTGTAAAGCATATTTCATAATTTTTATAACTACTTTTCCCGAAAAAAATTACATTTAAAAACATATCTGAATAATAATGTTGTGGAACATTATTTATTTATTTTAAAACTACTATGCACGAAAAAAATTGGATGTATAAATATCATGTGTCAAAAATTGTGTCAATTGGATGTCATATCATGTGTATAAATATCACAATATTTTAAAATATAATTTATAAATTTCAAAACTACTTTATCTGAAAAAATCACATTACGTATTAACATATCTAAAGAATAATGTTGTAACTCATAATTTATAAATTTTAAGAATAATTTCTCGAAACAATTATAATTTCAAAATTACATACATTAATAACATTGTAATTGTCAATTTGTTCACAAACTTTTTATACCAATGATTACTTAATTGATTCATAATACATTTATTTCTCTTGATTATGATTTCTTAAATATAAATAGCGTTTATATTATAAAACATGATATGAAAGGAATTTAATAAGCATAAATTGATATGTTTACTTTTTTAACGTTTTAGTATGAATTTTGATTGAATAAAGAAATACATTTCCAGCAATAAACTAGATATTAAAATAAATTATATATTTTCTTTACAAACATAGATTTAAGTAAGTTTTAAACGCATATTAGTATAAGTTGCTCAACCTAGTAAAGATGTGATAAGTAGGCAACATTTTCGAAAAAAAAAACTGAGTAATAAATTTAAACTGTATGATTTTTATTCCATTTAAACTGTAATTCCCAAACTGAATTCATCTCAACCAATGATAAGCAATTATCTCATTATAACCGAAAAAAAGAATAAACTGTAATCCATAAGAACTGTATTCTTTAAAAAAATTCATTCAACTACGATTTCGTTTTAAAGGAACAGCAAATAATTGATTATTTATATTCTGGTAAATAAAGAACAATTTGGAATATAAAATATTTTAAAACTCGTTATTAAATTAAAAGTAACCAAATCTTCAATATTTAACTATTTAAGTGCAAAACATTTGGAATAATATTTTTATAACTGTGAATAGAAAAAAATTTCGAACGTATTTCAAAAATTTTTTTTAATAGTAAAAGTTATTTTTTCATGATTATTTTAATTTTTGATTAATTTTGAGTTTTAACTTGGTGTAAAATACTATTGTAAAGTATTACATAAAATACTATAATATAAAATATTATTGTAAAATATATAATGAGGCAATTATAAAAAGAAGCAATAAACATATATAGGCTAGGTTTGGAGTTGTGAATCGCTCAAAAAGAATTCAAAACTATTTCCTATATTTAAAAATAGTTTTTAGTTACCTAAATATGGAATTTTTTAGATTATAATTTTACAATATTTACTAGCAGTCTTTTTTTAATGAAATCAAATTGCAGAAAAAAAATATTTTATGATCGCTGTATTTTATATTATTCCAAGAATAATTGACTGTTATTTATTAAAACTTTAGAACAGTTAATAAACTGAAATTAGATTCGGAATCAATAATTAAATACACTTCGAGCAAATTTTATTTTCAAAATTGACTTTGAGCATTCTTAAAATTTTCGACAGTATTATTTTACACAAAAGAAAAATATTCTAAACCGGATTGGCAATTTAGAGAAGAAGACAAATTTTTATGCAACCGTGTAGAGGTTAAAAAGGTTTTAGAATTATACTGCTCTACCATTAGAAGAAAAATGCAAATAATCAAAGAGAGTTTAGAAAGAAATAAACAAAAAATAGCTTATAAACTTATTTGAAGTAGAATGATTTATTTTAGAACATAGTAAATAAATTAAGAGCAAAGTGTTTATTATAAGACTTATAATATTTACGGAAAAGTCTAAAATCTTTAGCCTAATAACTTTATAGTTTAGCTCATACACTTTCGTAAAAAAGTAGATTAAGTCTATTAATTTTAAACATCAATAAAATAAAATAGTTAGTGTTTCTAAAATTTTTTTAAAAGGATAAACGTTTTTAAAAAAAATTTTCATTGCAAAGCAAATTAATCTCCAAATGCTTTGTTTTAAAAGAATGCTTCCCTAATTANAGATCATATATAAAATTTTTGTTATTTACTTATTTGGTGTTAATAAATTAGTGGTACTAATTGCCCTACTATCCTAATTAATTGATGTTGACAAAATAGAAAATGTTTTCAAAAATTGTTTATTCGCAAATTACTCTACGTATTAAAATTAAGGTTTGTTTTAAAGGAATGCTTCATTACTTAATTGATGTTATTTCAGTTAAGTTATTCATAAATTTAGTAAAGCGAATAAAAAATATATAAAATAAGAAATAAATAAAATAAGAAATATATAAAATAAAACTTATATAAAATAAGAATGTAGTCCAAAACATTTTAGACAATTTTTGACAAATTAAAATGAATCTTATAAATATTTCAAACAGTATATTCCTCAAAGCAACAAATAACAGATATTAACATTATAAAATTTTTAAAAAAAATTATCGCAATCTATTTTCGGAGTAAATAAGGAAAGCAAAAACTAATCTTAAATTTTAAAATAAATTCAAAATTTTATGAAAGTTATCACGGCTTTTTCGTGAAAAATATTTACTTAATCAAATATAAAATCTGTGATATATTTATTTTTATACTCTTTATTAGAAAATAAGAAAAAAATCTGCACTTTCTTCACGTTTCTGAAATGATTAAAATATCTGTAAAATAAAAAAAAATAATTTAGATTTTCAGGACATAACATTATTTTGTCTGTATCTATTTCTCCAAAGGTAAAATTTCGCTATTAGATTGGAAATACTAGAGGGGAAAAAAGAAAAAAAAAAGATTAAAATTTCACCGTTTTTTAATTTTTTTATTGCTTATTTAGCAGAAACCGGTGAATATTTCTTCTCCTTGCGCTAGCTACATTTTTTGACTTGACACAGCTGAAAAATCTGCAACGTAGCGAAAGAAAATAACAAAAGCTTCAATCATTTGTAAAATATTGTATTGTTATTTTTATGTTCTATACAAACATTAAGTGTGTTATTTTCAAGACTAAATCATATTTTAGGCAAAAGAATACTTTTTCAAACACATAGCAATTTCCATATGTGTCTGGTAAATTCAAAGGTGGCATAGGGGAAAAGCGTTTGCCTCCCAAAGAGGTGACCTGAATTCGAATCCCAGCGATGACTGATCGACTCGAATTCTGCGCTCTTTTCGTACCGACTACAGTGCTGACGTATAATATCCAGAATAATAGGCGGGTTATGGAGTCTCCTTGCCATCAGGCTAACTGTTGGAGGTTTTCGCGGTTTTCCTCTCCATGTAACGCAAATATTCCATCAAAAACTCCTCCACGAAGTTAAAATTCTCTAAATGCTGGATTCAGGAGTTCCCCTGTCTTTTGGATTGGGTTCAAAGATACAAGGCTACGGAATCGAACATTGGTAGTCGTCAACTCAGAATTGGGTTGGCTGTTCAATGACGGTTATAAAAAAAAGAAGAAAAAACACTTTAAATCATAAAAGAGTCTTTTACTGCCATTTCACATAAATTTTAAATTTCCTCCTAAGCAAAACAATATAAACAACATTAAATGCGATACAATACAAAAAGTAGCATTGTTACTGCCTAAGAAATTGTAGAATTGTTCACTTTTCTCAACCATTAATAAAATATTTCATTTCTTCTCCTGAACAATCAAACGCATTTGAAACAGTTTTAACGCTATTATATAAAAAATATTTTAGTACCATTGGTTTGATTAGAACGGAAATTTATCGATAAAAAGAAAGATAATAAAAAATAGATGAATGGATATATTTCTTTTAATTTAACCAATGTGCGTTTAATTTTGGTAAGCAAGGATATTTTTGTGGAGTATTGCTTTCAAAGGAATTACATAACTATTTATCTTTGATTATTTATTTTAATTATTTTAATAACAGTCAAAAGCATTTTATATTAAAAGATATAGGAATCTTTATCTTTACCTCATTTTAATGTATGTTATTTTAGACTACAAAATAATTACGAAGCACTAAATAATTTTTGATTAATAAAATTTCAAGAAAGACTATTTTAAAATTTTTTATATTTAAGGAATAGCTGACCAACTGCAGTCAAATTTTAAACTTTTTAATTTAAAATTACGCATTTGAAGAAAAAACTTGCAGTCATTATATGTTGAAGCGTTTTGACCATTATTAAAATAATGACTAACAAATAACAAATGATTATGAAGAAAGAAATGCATAGACATATTTTGGAGTCAACGAAATGATAATTGAGTACACAAATTTTTTTATTCTTTTTGTCAATTGCAAGAATAGGCAAAGTACGCAAAATGTATTTTTGCGTACTAAATGCAACTTTTAGAGCCACTAGTCCCCCTAAACTAATGGAATCTAATTTTTCCAGATTGCTTCTAGCTCTAATATATTAAAGATGAAGACTCCTAATACCTCTAAAAAGAAATATTCTACTTAGAGATTTTTAAGTCTGATTTTGTAACTTAAGATATCA